CCAGCAAATAGCCGAAATTTCAGATACTTCTTCATACTGAGGTAAATTTTGATCCATACCTTCAGTCACCTCTAGTTCCGCAGCACGTCTGGAGAAATGATTATTTCTATTACCCGAAACTCCATGCCGACGACCTATATCCTGAAGGAAAAACTCTCTTCGACGACATACCTCTCTTAATTGACCCACAGATTTGATAGTCATATTCAAAATTTCATGTTCAATATCTGGCAGCAAGTTTCTGCGCAATATTTCAACGAGGGTTTTATCATCAAGGGGCGTGGCAAGACGGTCAACTAACTCAATGACCGAATCGTAAAACAGGTCAAATGGTTCATTTGGTTTCTGTTTTCTGTCGAGTATTAACTCTCTAAAATCAATGTCGGTTCTGGAGTCCCGGTACTGTCGACGCAAAGCTTGACAAAGATCAGTCCAGAGAACAGCACGCACAGTACGGTGGAATCTCCAGAACCAATCACTTGCTTTTCCCTGAAAGATAGCACTCGCACTACGGCAAAGAGTGTCAAAATCCCCATTTAAGGTCTGTCTGGTCAAAGCTTCTACTCGGTAAATAAAGTTGTCAACAGGCAAACTGTTCGAACTCCCATTAAACTTTAATTTCCAGTTTGAAATTATCTGGCTAACTTTGTCTGGACGTGCAGCCAAGTCATTACTTGACATTGGAAAGCTAACCCTAGATCTGTTTAAAGAATTACCTTCATTGTTTACTTGGTTAAACTCATTAGCACCCTGATCGTCATTTGCAGATGGTAATCCAAGTAGTTGTTCAAGGGTTCTTTGTTCAACATCATATACATGTTGCATACCTTGATTATTTCTGGTTACAACAGGGGATGAGTCACTGCTAACCTGTGGCGCATTATTAATGTTGAGACGTGTCAAACTTGCCTGAACACTTTTTTCCACCATAGAAGATATTTGAGCAGAGAGAGTTTGAACAATTACAGCTTGCTGACTATTCATAAGAGAGGACATGATATCCCGAACGCTATCCACGGTAAGGTTTGGTTGGGGGCTTGTGGTTGCTGTTGTAGTCGCCCCATTAGAAACATTTGAATTACCGGGTATGTCCTGTCGGACCGAATCTTCAGTTCTGTTGGCATCATAATTCCTTGCTTTAGAGGACGATCTGGTTATAATTGATGTCTTCATTTGACCTGAAAATTTTTAAAACAACTCCCACCAGACAACAAGGATAGCGCAGGAAAACGCCAATATTGGTTTTATGTAACCAGCATTTCCGCATTCAAAACATAAAAACTCCAAAGATTTCGTTATCCTAATAGAAAGGGAATCAAAGAAAACACAATGAGGAAAAAGGACAGATGATGAAAAGCTAGATGAAAGAACATACAAATAAAATCTGGAGCTAAGTGGAAATGCCTTGTTTCGTAGAAAAGCTACCCTTTTCCAAATTAAAGTTAATTTTCTTCCATTCGGGCCCCACGTTGGGCGCGAAAAAATTGTAGTGTGCCGGTGTGTTTAAAGTGTAAGAGGATGTTCAAGGATGAAACAGTTGGCTACACGCATTGTTTACATCGGCCTTATTGCTCGCCTTTTCGGGGGGGATCTTGCCACTGTTCATCAACCTTTTTAGCAAACTACAAGCTTTAAATATTTTTATGCGTGCATATCAGATGTAACAAGTTAACTGAGCGACATTAGAAACGAAGGAGAAGAAATCATATACCTATAGTCATAGAAAGAGTAATTAAAGAACAATACATTTTTCTCGCAGCTGGTTTAGCACATGCAAAGGTGTCAACTACATGTATGCCCTCCCTACCTGTTTACCATCAATCCCAAAGACCAACCAAAATAGCAATAGTAAACCCATTTCTGTATCCTACCTAACTACTCCGAACTCCTTACAAATCAAACTTTAAAGATTAATTTACTTCATGATAACAAAATCAACATTTTTATTCAAAATAATTTCCATTTTAGATCTATAAATTATCAACTAAAATAGTACCAACAATGGTCCTGTTCTATGACCGGAAGAAAATAATAACATATAATATAATATTTAACTGCAACAAATTCATTAACGAATGGTTTGTAAATATAACGATATGAAAATACTACTATTCTTAACCAAATCGAAATTATAATGTTTGCAAACTATAAAGGCTTAATAGAAAATCCTAGACTAATATAAATAGGCATAACAATTTAAATAAAAAAAAATTTCAACATTTAATTTTAATGGCGCCATGGTGTTCTGTACATGAAATTAATTAAAAACCCTTTTAATAATCGTTTTAATGAGAGTAACTCTAAAATGTAGATTTGCGGAAGAGAAAAAAACATTATTTTTAAATAAATCAGACGAGCAACTTGAAAAAAAGAAAGTAATACTCATGAGTGAATGTGCGATCCTGATAATGATCATTTGATCAGCTGATGGTACACTGACCTCTTAACATGAAGAGACAGCCATTTGAGTAAAATATATATCGGTATATAATAATGAAATCATATTAAATGTAAAATAAATGATATAATAATGATTCTGGTTGTGTAGGCTAATTAAAGAACATAATTAATAAGAATGTTTTACTCATTTAGTAAAAACCAAACGAACTTTTAGTTAAACAATTGACAACTGTAAAAAAATAGTACTTCTCAAACTTTAATTTTCCATTAACAGAGAACATACGATTTACAGCATGCATTCTGTTATTACAGCCATTAACATTGCCTCTATCAACCAGTATCATAGCAGTCGTGGAAATTTACAGAGGAATCAAACAAACACAAATAGCAGCCAGTATATCACCTAAATATTGGTTTAGCTCTTCTCTAAATACTGGTCTAGTTAAAAGTTGCAAAATACTTTAAAGAATTTAAAATATTTCATTAAAATTTCTGGCAACTTAACAACAATAGCAAATTCAGAGAGTAATAACGGGACACTCGCTTACTCTCAAAAGTACATGAACCATTTGTGTGTGTTTATTATGGATATAAGAGATTTACCACTTACTTGTTTTATTGGCGCTGCTCCCACGTTGAAAGGCCTTTCGAGGGGGGGGGTGAATGGCTAAAATATCCACAGCAAGCTCCAACCAATCAAAATCTCACAACAAATTATAATCTCATGCAAATTTACACCATTTATCAATGTTTTACATCATTGAATATGATCTTAGACCGATATTGTTTACTTTTCAATGATTTTTCTATAATATCTGCACATTGCTCGTTTTTTTTAAAGTTGTCTCTAGATCTGAACTTTTCTATGCAACCACGACCAATAAAAATAATAAAAACAATTTTTTTCTCTCACACCAGGTAGCCAATAAAATTTACACACATGTATAGATATGAAACTAAGTCCGGACTTTTTTTTTTTAGTAAATATTAAATTGAATAGTAATTATAGATTTTACGCCTTATTTTGGGTACGCGTTATTAAATTTAATATGAACAATTTTCTTTAAAGATTCGCATGCCCTGTGCCTTGAATATTAAACTTGCTTTTATCAAATTTTTTCTTGGGCTTCGACTACCAGCGACCGCTTTACACGAGTTCTGCAAAACACTGATCACTGCTAGCGCACTGTGGCTCCTCCTGAATGCAGAAACTGGTAGGCAAAGAGGCGCAGTGATGTTGACTTAGGGACAAGAGCATTCTAGAAACGCATGTAACAAGAAGTGACAATCGAAAATTAGCACTCGTATATTGCAGAGGTTTTAGGTAAATGATGGGGACTTACCAACACAGTTAGAGAGAAGATCATTTGGAAATGGCGAGAATTAAAACTCCAAAGTCATCAATGACGTATCCAAACTGAGCAAGCAGCAAAAAGCAATGAAACAAATTCTTGAACCCAGGAAAAGTGGTGACAGTGGATAAGGAGAAAAAATTTAACACTCCAGAGAAAACCACAACTTCTTATATTTTCGTTAATCAATGTCAACTTTGATTTTTAATAATCTCATTGAGACCAATCGAAGGATATAACCTTTTTCACCAAAATCCACAATTTTAAGTTTGAAATCTGAGAAAGATGTGTGACGTTGATGCAGACAGTTGCTAGGTTATAACAAAATGACCAGCATGTATACTTCTTAACCTCCTTTTGTAACCTCGCCTATTTTGCTGGGTACATGGCTGAATTTCCAATACCATCTTAAAATTTTAAAGAAAAATGGCTTCCTTATGAAAATATATACAATTGAACTACACTACACCATCTACCAACTTTGTGCGCATGTGTGAGCAACCCGAGAAAAAAAAAGAGAAAGGTAGTGAACGGAATTATGCCTTTCACTTCAACCTGTTAGAGCGGGGAAATTTTAACAGGTTAGATAAATTTTCGGGCGATGTAAATAGGAGTTAAGCCTGTAATCACGCAGAATAGATCGGACTGTATTTATGTATAATTTATATCTTCCACATGAGCTACAACCAAAACCAACGATCCCAACCATTAGGGGTGGATTATTTAATCATATAAAAAAATAAAAAAAATAAATTGACCTGTTCTGGGAGACGAACCTGGGCCGTCATGTTTGTTAGCCGACAACACATACTCTGGGCTACGAAGAGTGTTGAGATTTGGATGGCTAGACGAACACGTAAACCAACTACACTATGCGGTGAAGTGTGGTTATGCTGGCTAGAGTTCGATTCTATAAATAGAATCTCTCACAAAAAAAAGTAATAAAACCTGTTAAGAATCGATGTAACATGACATGTTAGTTTACACTCAAATATATGTTAAAATTCAACAGATCTGTCCAAACCAAAGTTTTGGGGGTGTTAAAATTGAACAATCAAATGAATAAATGTATTTACAGGTGCCCCTACACTGCCTATTTTAAGACATCAAATAGCAACGAAAATAAATTATTGCTAATAACAATACACTACAGCTTGAAGTATTTTCCTTCCACCCAATAAATTTTAACCAAAAACGTTCTATAAGTTCACTAATTGGGTTTATCGGTGGAAACTTATCGCCAGGATAATGCTCACAACTCCCTATCAGTAAGTAACAGTAAGCGCTATTCAAAGTCAATGTAATATTACAACGGGAGCTTATATGAATAATACACCTGTGCATACTTTACATGAGTTCGGGCTAAACGTTTCCCCTGGAAATAAAATGAATGAAATACCTAGTAACTTAATTTATTTAGCAGTGAATGTGAAAGAAATAAGTTCTCTCAAAATTTAGATCACTGATCAAGAACAACGTCTAATAAATTTTCGAGGTGAAGAAATTGCTCTGCGACTGCATTTGAGATCTATAGCGAAATTAATATCTATAATAAATACTTAAAAAAGCAGACGAACAATTTTTGAAATCTTTTATGCGTAAAAGAAAATATCTGAAATATTAAACGTTGAAGACGCACCGTTCTCAAATGATAACATCTTATATCCGTTCTTTAAAAAATAGAGATGAAATAATAATCACAATACAAAATCAAGATTTATGCGTTTTACCGAGCGAAAGTTACATTTACGTTGAAGTTCTAATTACATTATCAACTGGAGAAATTACAGCAAACGCTAGCTTACGCAACAATTGCATTGCATTCTTATTTGATGAAATCCGATATGAACTCAATGGTAATGAAATTGATCGTACACGTCATTTAGGAGCACCGAGCACCATAAAAAATTTCGCATCTCTCAAAAGTCTTGACAGCAATATTATGAGAAATGCTGGATGGAATAATGGTGATGATTTATCTATGAGTGTTTTTAATTTTTGTATACCCCTTAAAATGATATTGGGGTTTGCAGAAAATTATCAAAAAATAATATTAAATAAAAAGCATGATCTTATTATGCTGCGCAGTTCAAGATATCATAGTGCCTGCTATTCTATAGATCCCAAGAAAAAATTAAATGTACAAATTACTAACATATCATGGGGAATACCTCACATACGTTTATCAAATCCGTCGAAGTTGTAAGATGTAACAATATAAATTGAAAGTAATACCAAAATACCTGTATCTGCATATTATGCAAACTTATGTAATAGTTATAATATGGAAATATATATATATATATATATATATATATATATATATATATATATATAAGCTCCCGTTCTAATATTACATTGAATTTGAATAGCGCTTACTGTTACTTATTGATAGGGAGTTGTGAGCATTATCCTGGCGATAAACCCAATTAAACGATAATTATATATATATATATATATGTATATATATATATATATATATATATATATATATATATAAATTTTTTATTTCCATATTTAGTTTCAGTCTTATTTTGTTAATAATTTATATTTATATGTTAATAATTTTTATGGTTAGACTGTGCAGCTATATCTCCCACATGGAGAATTTAAGTGGAAATGATTACAAATCCTGAGGATATTCAATTCAAACCAAATTCAGCTACTGCTTACCTTACGCTATCCAAAAACTCTCCACGACATAATTATTTGCCGTTTTGTTCACATACATGACTTTGCTTCGAAAAAAGAATATGCTATACATTAAATGGCATTGAAACAAAGTCTAGATAACGGATTATTGTTAGAAAAAGTACATAGATTCAAAATTGTAAGTCAAATATATATTGTACCTATTTTGCTTTATATCCGATTTCTTAACTATCAGCATCATTTTAATAATCAAAAGTGCCCTTTTAATGTATTTGATTCGACTGGGATTTGGCAGGGATTAAAATGTTCATGGTTTAGTGGAAATATTTATATTTTCTTACATAAAAGTTAGGGTCTACTTTACCCGCTAAATATTGTCCGATGGCCAAATTGGTAAGCTTCTGCCCAGCCCTAAACACTAACTCCATGTAAATTTCCGCGTGGTTTGGCTTATAATTGCGGCCTATAGACAACTGCAAAATCAGGAAAATTTTTTGGTCCATTTCAACACCTAAATATTTTGCAATCATCTCCAAAAACAATAGGCTTCTATTCTGACCCTAACCCCACCTCCATTTTCACGGACGGCCGGACATACATAGCTAGATCAACTTAGCTCGGCAAGATAGGAAGATTCATATATAGTTTCCTATGTGGGAAACCAATATTTAGAGGTGTTAAATAATTTTTGGCCCAACACATAGTGTTGTAGGGTATAAACATTTATAATCTCTGAAAAAAAAGGTATACCTTGGGATATTGTGGCATTGTCCAATGATTTGAATTTTTATCCCTTGTTTTTTGTTAACAAACATAAACTATAATGTTGCTTTGTGTTACAACAATTGTAACCAATTAAAAATTAAATTAATCATTAAATATATCATTTTATATAATGGTTAAGTTATTCAATTATTTAGTTTATATAAATGAAGAAAGAATAAGAACAATTTCGATTTGTTTTATGTTTTTAATGCGGTTTTTTCACTTTTTTTTATATTTTTATTGAACAAACAAATGTTATGCAAACAGTGAGTGATAGCAAAAAAAGAAAAAAATATTTGCTCATAGCAAAAAAATTGAGACGAATGTCCTTGTCAATATTAAAATAAAATGATTACTATTTTATAATGACTGTTGAAGCACTTAATAAATAACGCTTCGTTCTGCAGTCATTCATTCATCTGTTCGTGGGAAGACGGCAGGATATCAACAGTGGTTATTATGGTTTTCATTGAGTGTTTTCTTAATTAATAAATAATAGCTATCTTTTTAATAAATATAATATTTAAATAATAGAATAAATATTTATTTTTTATCACTTATTATTTGCATAACACTTTTATGGGGAGCATGTAAAAGAGATTATATTCCATGGCGTCACGTGGCCGATTGTGAAATCGAAGTAATTATATTTTAAATAGAGCTGTATTCATCTGGAACACTCGAACATATTGCATTACAAATTGGTGATATCGGTCAATGTTTTTACATATACCCTACATCAAATTTAATCTATTCCGCATTTTCTGTTTGAATTGCCCATCTCTTTCATTATACCTTACACCACATAATGGTAAAGTTATTATGTCTTTCTGCATTTGTTTGTAACATCAGCCCGTCCGCCCATGCATTGCTGTGAGCAAAATGCAGGACGCATTTATTATCCGATTTAGATGAACATTTTTAAACCACATTTATTTGGCCCATGATCGATTGATTGAATATAACCCATTAAATGGTATTGCTTGCAAAATTATGTAATAGTTATACACGCTTTATTATAATACTACCTGTTAAAATTGAAACACTCGGGATATTGATAAAACGGCGTTGTTTATTCACTAGAACAATAAATGATTATAAAATTGAAATATCATATTATATACATAGAATGTCAAGAACAATTTCGAAAATAAACTTACATTTGTTTTTTCCCTTTCCATTTTAACTAACGGAATGAATCGAAATACAATTGTTGTCTATTATATACATACAAATTATTTCATGGATTACTATTATAAATGAAATAAATATAAAATCTCATAGACTACTTCAAAAATTAAACACAATATAATACATTAGAGTAGAAGTTAATATACGGTTAACATTTTCTCACCCCTCGTTAATCGACCAGGGGAGATTAACTATCTATGGATCAAAATCTAATAAAGCTAACATCGACGCAGGTCTTTTAAAAGTTCCTTCAACTGTTTTTACATCAGCTGATCTCACCGTGCCATCTTGGCCAGGATAGGCGTGCATTACTCTACCTCGTTGCCACTGCGATCGTGGCGACCTGAAATCGCATATAAGTACTAAATCTCCAACCCCTAAATTTCTTGAAGGTAAGCACCATTTAACTCGCCGAGTTAAATCCGGTAGATATTCATGAATCCAACGGTTCCAGAATCCATTTTTAAGGTTCTGCAATATTCGCCATTGCTTTCTAAGTCTATTACTCAACACTTCGTATTTAGCCGGAGTTTGGGTCGAGTTTGTTGATCCTAAAAGGAAGTGATTTGGAGTTAGGGGTTCAGGTTCTTGTGGTGTTAACGGGACATGGGTCAGTGGCCTTGAGTTTATGATGTTTTCGGCTTCTATTATTAAACTTTCAAAGACGTCAATTTTAGGGCATGAGTGTTGCATAAGTACTGACATAGACTTCTTTATGAACTGCACCAGCCTTTCCCTTGCTCCTACCGCACTAGGATCAAGAGGGGTGTTGAAGATCCATTTAATTCCAAGAGGCGTCAGAGATCGTGTTATTTCGTTGTGGTCAAGAAAATTGACTTCGTTCTTCAACTCTTTTCTGATTCCAACAAAATTTCTTCCATTATCGCTCCGAATCGCAAGGGGAACTCCGCGTCGATTTATAAAATTTCTCAAGCAAAGTATAAATGAATCTGTGGATAAGTCGCTTACAAGCACCAAATAAACGGTTCTTACTGAAAGACATGTAAATATGCAAACCCATCGTTTTTCTGTACATCTACGAACTTTGACATCGAACGGACCAAACATGTCCACTCCAGTATAGGTAAATGGCCGAACGTATGGCGTGACCCGGTCTTTAGGTAAAATTCCCATCTGTGGCTGCTTTGGCTTTGCTTTTAATATCTTACAGCGTGCACATTTCGTTTCTACAGACTTCAAGCACTTTCGAATTGACGGAATCCAGAACTTTTCTCTAACAGCGCATATAACATTTGAAGCATTTTGATGACAATTCTTTTCGTGAAAAAATTTTATCAACATGCTCGAGTATCTGTGAGAACTAGGGAGAATTATAGGTCTTCGAGTATATTCTGGAAGAAATGTTGCATTTTCTAAACGTCCATTCACTCTGAGAACCCCCATATCGTCTATATACGGACTAACAGTTAGCAGATCACTTGACTTGGGTATTAGCTTTCCTTCTTTCTATGAACTATATTCTTCACTAAAAACTTTTTCTGAATTTCCCGACATATTACTTGCTCAGCGTGTGTTTCCTCCTCTACCGTTAATTCACCAGATTTCAATTACTTGTTTTCACGTTTCTTTCGCAAATTATCCAAATATCTGTTTGTCCATGCTAATATCCTTCGAACCCTCTGATATTTGGAATATCTGC